TCGTGGCCACCGATTCGGTGGAACTAGCGGTGGAGGTTGTTGTACGCCATCCATGTAATGGAAACGACGTACTTTTCGCTCGATGGAAAAGTCAAGGAAAAGTAAGACTCGACCAGGTGTTCCAGTCCTTTTCTACTTCTAGTTTTTATCTTGTATATTTTATCTATATGCGAGATATATTTATTAAATTTTGTCGATTCTGTTCCCGCGATTGATATATAATTCGATTTTGAACGATTCGTTTATTTAAACGTATTTCCGTGAAAATTCTCGTTCAAATTTTACACAAAAATTTCGTTTTATGTCGCGTTGCTGATCCCAATTGCTGACGAGGGATATTTTTAATTTATTTCAATAATTTCGGCGTTCGTAGGCGTTAATTAATTAATTTTGGTGGGAAAAAAAAATTCGACGAAATTTGTATTGAAAAGCAAGTATTAAGAACAATTCTGTTTCGAGCAATTCTTACATTCTTCGAAAAATATACAAATATTCGACACGATAGATACACCTATCTCGATTTTACGAAATTATAAAATTGGCGATCCAATGGACAGAATCCAGAATCGTGATCCACATTTTGAAAATTCAGCTTCTTCGTCTACCATCGTCGATCGACCGAGGGAGAGAGAGTAATCAAGATAACCGAGCGACTCGAAATTTAATGGGTCCCCGACACGACGGCCGTCCATGATTAAATCACCCACAACTTCCACGAGATCCGCAAATACGAAACGCGTGTGTACGTACACACGTTTTCAATTTACCACTCGTTAGCCCGGCAACTGACCGCCACTGCTAATGGCGAATCTACTTTGGGAACTCTTAGCAACATCGGCGGATTTAGAATCGGGGAATCCCGTGTTATTTATCTAGTTCCTTATTAGTGGATCTCATTATTCTCTGTCTGTGAAACGTCCACGTAATCCTTTGTTCATTGATTAATGTACGCGTTGATGCACGATGTTGATGATGTGTGTGAATACATGTGATTCGATTTTTTTTTTCTTTCTCGCTCGAGGATTAAGTGTACGTTGAATTCTTCTTGTGAATTCATGCCATCTAAATTCGATAATTGTGATATTATTACGTAACGTAATTACGTATAAATCGTAATTAAGTTTGGACGAAGCAAGAGACAATCAATTATCAAATTAATAAATATCAATTTTTGTTACGTTAATATCCTGTATATGAGCAGTTTAAAATTTATATTTTCGTTGTTTTCTTTTGGAGGTATAGTTTATTCTTATCTAACCAATGGATTGAGAATTATAAGTATCGTAATCTTTTTT